TTTTGTTGTTGTTCTTGTTGGTGATGGTGGTGGTGGGGAGGAGGAAGGAGGGTTCACATTTTGGAAGGTCATCATGGGGATCACAGTTAAGGGTTACAGTGGGGGGTCACAGAGTAGGGGCCACCGCGGAGTCACTGTTGTGTCTTAAAGGACCATGAAATAACGGGTTAGCTGGTGGTTGGCGGATACTCTGGTGTGGTTTGCTCCTTCTTTCCTATCAAACATCTATCGTCCTGATCTCCCCTGCTTCTTTTCCGTGTTTATTACTCTCCTGTAACGCCTATATTCTTCGGCATTTATGGTACCTTATTGTTTTGCAAATGTCGTAAAACTCTTACTAAAACTAAACTAAAACTAAAAATGGTTTGGGATAGTAATGATACGGGAAGACGTGGAAAAGGACGGGTTTGGTGGTATTGTGGTATACTTTCCCTAAACTGAATTTTAACTTACAAATACGGGGAACAGCTGACTGTAATAGCAATGATGTGTGAAGACACGGAAGGGGGAGGGGAAGAGGGGTTGGGGGGGAGTTAACATGACCTACATTGTCTCCACAGACGTGTACGAATGCAATGATCTTCCTGATGAAGAAAGACGTGAGGGACAAAACTTTGCTTTAATCAAAGTTGTATACGCGAACCAATACAATGATTGGGGGCTCTCGTAACCTAGAGGTTAAAGTGTTGGCCTCTCATTCCAAGGTCCTGGGTTCGAATCCCGGTAGCGACCGAAAAATTTTCTTTTCTAAAATTGTCCCCGTTCACCTCATTTCGAGCTCTCTAACAATGTTCTGTCGTCAGCTTTATATCTCTTCTTTTTGCCCCCACCCCCTCATCTCGTTTGTCCCCCTTCTCTGGGCTCCTGATTCTTTCTGCAGCCTTTCTACAGCTACTCCTTTGCTCCTTACTGCTGTCTTTTACCCACACCCCTGATCTTCTGGTAGGAAAGATCTACACCTGGCCTTCTCGGACAAGGGCGTAAAATCTCGGAGATCCCGTGTGCAAGTTGCGCACATTAAGATCATTGGGTGGTCTAAAATCAGTAAGAGTAGGCTTCGGCCGCCACCCGGGCAAAATTCAAAATTTCCTACTGACTGAAAAAGTTAAATGTGTCCCGCGCGCTCATATGACCTTATGCAGTTGCGAGCGCCGTAAAACTCTTACCAATATTTCTTGAGGGTAAAAATACAATGATTGTCTTTGTGCAGAAAGCTGTGGAGAGGTTAAACTTTTCTTTTACCAGCATTGTACCCCTAGACGTGAACGAGTGTAATGATCACCTTGATGCAACTTTAAGAGGGGGGGGGGGGTTGAAGTGTATGTTTACGAACATTGCATCCATGTACAGACGTGAACGAGTGCTGTAATCGTCTTTATGCAAAAGAACGTGGAGGGGAGCTAAACTTTACTTTTACTAACACAGTACCACATACATGAACGTGTGCAGTGATTGTCTTGGTACAAAAAAAGACGAGGAGGGGGCTAAGCTTTATTTTTACCACCATTGTGTCAACAGACGTCAACGAGTACATTGTTCCAATTGATGCAAAAAGACGTCGATGGGGCTAAACTTTACTTTCACCTACATTGTATCCACAAACAGAAACAAGTGCAATGATCCTCATGATGCAGGAAGACGTAGGGAGGGGTTAACTTTACTTCTACCAAAATTATATCCACGACAGACGTGAAGGCGTGCAATGATCGTCTTGATGCAAAAAAAAAAAAGGATGAGGGGGCTAAGCTTTATTTTCACCACCATTGTATCCACAGACGTGAACGAGTGCTATGAGGGTGGCCACGACTGCGCGGACGGACAAGAGTGCATCAACCAAGAGGGAAGCTTCCACTGTGTGCAGCTCTGTCCGCAGGGCTTTGTCAGGACAGAGTCAGGGAGATGTCAAGGTGAGAGGTTAAAGGTCAACTCATGTCCGTTTTAAGGCAGTTTGTTTAAGTGTTTTTGCTTGTTTTTCTTTAACCTTTTAACGCCCTGAGAATGAGCACTGTGGTCATTCGACAACGATTGAAGACACCTTGTTTTTAAATGCAACATCTTTTCTCATGCAAGTTTTGTTCAATTCTATTTTTGTTTATCTGGAACATTAGAGTGTTAGCAAAAACATGCGTACTATAATGGATTAATATGCATGTTCGTGCCTCTGATATAATGTATGTGATGGTTCGTAATGTGCTCCGGCAAGATTTCCTTTAATCTTCTGCTAGTCGGACATAACCTATATAATAATATCCGCCTAGGGGTTAAGATTTCGGCAGGCAATTCATAAGGCGAAATTATCCGATATGGTCAGGAAAGTTAAGGATGTGTAGATATTTGAATATGGTTGTTTAAAATGTGTGGCGTCGGTGGCCTAGTGGTTAGGCTACCGGACTCGTAATCGTGAGGATGCGGGCTCGGTGGTTCGAGCCGCGGGCCCGACGTTGTGTCCTTGGGAAAGGCACTTTACACGAATTTTCCCCACTTCACCCAGGTGGGAATGGGTACCCAGGACAGTGAAAGATCTTGTCAGTTTGTTAGTGTTTGAGCGCTTAACCAGCTGCTTGCATTGCATGCTTCCCGGGATGCTGAGAATGTTTCTGAGTGTTCTATGGTCTGCTGGGGTAATAATATAGTGTAAAGCGCATAGAGCTTGCTTTCGAGTGGGGACATGTGCTAAACAAATGCTATTTATCATTATTAAATTAAAATGTTTAAAATATTTTGTTTATAATCACCAAATTAAATGTTGTGCTAAAATACTGAAAATATTACAAAGAAAATGTGTGTTAAAATAACATATTGAAAAGAAATAAATCACACAGCAATGTTTGTGTGAAAAGAATGAAAATAAAAACAAGATTTGAACCCAAACCTTTCTCCTCAGACGTGGACGAGTGCTCAACCAGACAGCACCGCTGCTACTACAACCAGCGCTGTGTGAACACAGAGGGCGCCTACCGCTGTGAATGTCCGCTCGGGTTCACTTCCCGTGGCCCAGGACAACCCTGCATTGGTTAGTCAAGCATTTTCGTTGTAGCGTATGACTGTTTTATTGCACCCATTCTAATACAATGGTTGTGTAAATATAACTGTTTTATTACGCCCATTCTAATACAATGTCTTTGTAAGTATAATTTGTTGTTTTTTTTAAGCCCTTTCTAATGCAATGTATATGGAAATATAACTGTCTTTGTAAAGAGAACTGTTTTGCGCCAATTTTCATACAATTTAGAGGGTGGTTAGATGGAAGGCACCACTAGTGGCTGCTACTTCTTTAACTTTTTCTGTGCTATAACTCTCTGTCTTTACTTTTTGTTGGCATGCTTAACTGCTTTTACGCCCATTTTAATACAATTTTTAGGATGGTTGGAGGATGCCACTGGTAGGTCCCACTTTTTTACGTTCCCTTTGCTATTACTGTCTGTCTGTCTGTCTTACTTTTTCCCTACTAGAGGGTGGTTTGAGGGGGCCACTTCTAGATTCTATTTTTTTTTTGACTTTTCCTCTGTTATCACCCTCTGTTTGTCTTACTTTTTCACGTTAAGCGGGCGGTTGGAGGACGCCACTGGCGGGTCCTACCTCTTTACTTTCTCCCTCTGTTATTACTCCCTCTCTGTCTTCTTCTACTTTTCTCCAGCACTAGATGACCATTATAGTGCCGTGTGTGCTTCTCTTTACTCAAACAAAACAATAATTTAGATAATAATTTAAAAGGCTGGCTTATCTGACCCTGGGAGGCATTGATCTGGTACAGATTCCCAGGAGAGATAGAGAGATACTTGATAAGATATACAAGTCAACCAAAACGAGGATTAAACTTTCGTCTTCTGTTTGCGATTGCGAAGAATCGAACTGCTGCTGCTTCATAAATCTTGTATTGGTTTGTAAGGGACACTGATTATGTGAAACCCAATATCCAGCGAAAGATCTTGTTAGTATGTCACTGTTTTAACGTCTATAAATGGCTTCTTGCACCGTATGCTTCCCAGGAAGTTGTGGTTGTTTCAGAATGCTTTCAGGTCTGCTGGGGTAATAATATAGATTGCGAAGCGCAAAGAGCTTGCTATTGAGCGAGGATTTGCACTACACAAATGCTATCTTTTATCTATTATTATTATTATTGTGTGAGAAATGCGTGTATGTGAGGGGTTGGAGGTGGGCGCACAGACTTTTAGTCCTAGATTGGGCCATTGTCCTGACCGCCGCTCTTCGCTCTCTGTAGACAACTTGACATGAAAGCGTGCACACCATGATTCGTAATCTCAGAATTACAAAGTCCTATCTGAAATTTTTGGACGTTTTGAGCTACTAAGACTGTGAGGTCAGATGCCAAATTTTAATGTTATATCTGCTTTTTCAAAAGAGTAAGATTATTTGGAGTCGGCATCAAGATATTTAAAGAATTGCATTTGAAAAATCTTGAGCTATCGTGAAGCTCACCTTTTTTGCGTTTGATTTATCAAAACTAGGCATTGGGCTTTGTGATTCTGAGGTAGCGCATTGGCCGCGCCATTGCGTCCGTTTGAAGAGCAAATTACCAGTCCTACTATGGCGAGTGTGAGTGACCCCTCCCCCCCCCCTGCCAACTTCATTTACAGCTCACTCCGTTTCCCTTCTTGTGACATTCAAATTTAGTCAAATAATGTGCTCTTGTTATATAGTGAATCAGAATAAATACTTTAGAGTGCACTATCTTGGTGTCTGTGAGGGAGATATGAAAAGACGTATTTTGCTCTTTTGAGGCTTTTGGGGGTGAGGTGGGGAGAGAAAGAGAGAGCGAGAGAGAGAGAGAGAGAGGGAGAGAGAGAGAGAGAGAGAGAGAGAGAGAGAGAGAAAGAGAAAGAGAGACAGAGAAAGAGAGACAGACAGACAGACAGACAGACAGACAGACAGACAGACAGACAGACAGACAGAGAGAGGGTGGGTGGTGCGGGTGAAATGAGACAGATGGAGAGAGGAGCATTGAAACTTGAGATTAGAATAAAACAATATGGTATCTATGCAAATGGGAAGAATAAGAGAATTTTTAAAAGTATAGGAGGAGTATAAGGAAGAAGATGCTAAAGTGAAAGACAGAGAAGAAGACTGTACATTGTAGATGATGAACAAGGAATAAGAATTGACTTTCATTTTGCCTTTTTTTCTTGTGCTTACTAAGGACCTGTAATAAGGTATGTGAATTGGTATTACATATTATGTATATTATATATTTAGTCACTTCTATCCATCCATACATCTGTCTGTCTGTCTGTCTGTCTGTCTGTCTGTCTGTCTGTCTGTCTGTCTGTCTGTCTGTCTGTCTGTCTGTCTGTCTGTCTTCATTCTAAGAAAATGTAAAAAAATAAATGTCGTCGTGCATGACCTCATGGTGACCTCTTTGTTGGCCCCACCGGGAGTGGAGACCCTAGATCATGTGAATTAGCTCAAGTAAGATCAAAGTGTTGACCACAACTAGACCTTTGCCACTTAAGCTCACGGTATATTATCCAGTTCATCTCTTTTGTTCAGATTCAAATTGTTTTATAGTCGTTGTTGTGTTTGTTGTTGCTGTTACTGGTATATTTTTTTGATGTTATTGTTGTTATTAACTTATCATTATTGTAACATTTTTCCTTCGTAAGTCGAATGCATCTAACTTATTATTTTATTAGTTAATAATCAAATATGGTCTTTCCACTGTAAGTGCGTATTAAAAAAAAACAACAACGAATTCAAGAACGAGAGAAAAAAACAAACAGAATAAAATAACAAACCAACACTGCCCCCCCCCCATTCCTCACATCCCTGCCTTACACTTACTCATGAAAACAGAAAACTAGACCAAAAAAACATAGACCTGAACTTATCCGTCAATAACCACATAGCCCCGCCCCATTGATGTATTTGGCGGCGATCAGTGCTGTCAATCTTCCCCGCACTCCAATCTTCTCACCCAACCCCGCCAATCCCTGACCACGTGAACCCTCCCCTTTATGAATGCTGCCTTTACCGCTCTTCCTTTTCCCTCGAAACTCTCCAACAAATCACCAAGTAGTCCCGCCTCTTTCAATGTTCCAGACGTTAACGAGAGCTGGTGCCGCCCCCCTCCTACCTCCCACTCTCCGCCCCACTCCTACCTCCCACTCCCCGCCCCTTAAGCCTCCAAATCAGAGCCAATCACCTCTCTCCATGTTTCAGACGCTAACGAATGTCCCCCTCGCTCCCTATGCTCCTTCCCTTCCCCCAAACCAGCCAATCACTAGGCACGTAGTCCCGCCTCTTTCAATGTTTCAGATGTTAACAAGTGTCGGAGCTGCCCATCCCACACCCTCCCCACGCCCTTCTCTTTCCTCCAATCTATCTATCACTGACCACATAGTCCCGCCTCTCTCAATACTTCTGACGTTAACAAGTACCAGTCCATCCCTAC